CAATTCACAAAAAAATTCAAGTAGCCAGTAAATAACAGAAATAAAGTTAAATTTAAAAGTGAAACTTTATAAAATAGAGATAAAATGCTTTACTTATTGAACTGGCAAAAATTAAGAACAGATAATATTTATTGTTATTCAGGATGTGGTAGAATGGATATTCTCCCTAAATGGCTACTAAAGGAATAAAAATGGTACAATTTTTCTGGGTGGAAAATTTTCAGTAAACATCATAAGCCTTAAAAATGTTCACACTCTTTGACCTATAATACAATATCTAAGATTTAACTTCAGGAAGTAATTATATATGTTAAGTAAAGGGTGTTATAAATAAGGATTTCATTCCAGTGTTTTTGGTAATAGAGAATACAAGACTAGATTATGATTCTAACTATATATATATTTATATTATATATATTTATATATCTAAATACAAAAACAAGAAATATTTTGTGTGTATGTTTTCAAAGAAATATACTGAAATGATGCAGTTGTTATTTCTGTGACAACAGATGGTTTTTATTTTATTTATATATTTCCGTACTTTCCAAGTTTTCTATAGCAACAGCTGTAACCGTTATAACGGGGAAAACTTGTTAAGAAAGGAAAAAAATGTTCATTATATTTTCTACTGAGAATTCCTTGTAACCCAGCTATTATGAACTCCAAGGACACCTACAAGGGGTCTTCAAAAAGTTCATGGAAGGATTCACATTATCTTTTAGTCCAATTTTTCCATGAAATTTTTGAAGTACCCTCTTACTACGTCAGAATAAAGAAAAGACTAAGTATTCAAATCAGAACCCTGAATTCCTTCTAATGACATGTCTTCTCCGTCTTTAACTGCTCAGGCCAAAAAAGCCTAGTAATCATCTTGGATTTCTTTCTTTCCCCATACCTAATTAATCAGTATCCTGCCAGTTCTAGCTCCAAAACAGAACCTGAATTTGACCAATTGTGTCTCCACTAATAACTCTAATCTAGTCATCAGCAGCAATTGTCTCCTAACGTGTCTCTCTGCCTCTACTTTTGCACTGCTCCTAACAGACCTTTTTTTCCCCCCACATAGCAGCCTGAGTGAGCTTTTCTAATCTGATCATATCCCTCTCCTGCTTATAGCTCTTTGTGGCTGCCCACCCAGTGTAATTATGCCCAACATGATCTGGCCCCTGGCTACCTCTCTGGCCTTGTCATATTACTTTTTTCCTTGTTTGTTCTCCTCCAGTGATTCAGACCTCACTAGTCCTGAAACACTGCCAACCTTATTCCCACCTCAGGACCTTTGCACTAGCTGTCCTAGTGCCAGGAATGTTTTCCCCAAATTTTCCCATAACTGACACCTTCTCTTCATTCAGGGCTCAGCTCCAATACTGCGTCCTATGAATGGATAACCACTCTATCTAAAGGAACATTGTCCCCCTAGTTACTTTCTATTCCTTCCAGCTATGCTCAACCAGGGTTCCTCATCTGAACCACAGAACACAGAAAATGATTAGAGTGAATATTTTCTCAGTTCTTGCAAGGAGGGCACAAAAGCGTATCATTCTAGCTGCACAGAAAAAGTTAATTCATTATATATAAAATGGATGCCTAAGGACTATGGTACTCAAAACTTTTTGGTTTCAGCATTCATTTACATTCTTAAAAATCATTAAGGATCCTAAAGAGCTTTCGTTTACCTGGGTCACACATACTGATAATTACCATATTCAAAATGAAAACTAAGCAATTTAGAAAATATTTATAAATTCATTTAAAAATAAGAAACCAATTACATATTCACATAAATGAAAAAACTATTTTCCAAAACAAAAAATAAAAATTTAGTCAGATGAATAGCAGTCTTTTATGTTTGTAAATCTCTCTTAATGTTTGACTGTTGGACTCTTATATAAGCTTCTGCATTCATTCTGTTGCAATATGTTGTTCTGGTTGAAGTGTATGCAGAAAACCTGTACTCATACAGATATGTAGTTAAAAAAGAAAGACTTGAATGGACTTTTCAGATAATTGTGGATATTCTTCTTTGATACTACACCAAAACTTGACAAGTGGTAATTTCTTAAAGGTCAGCTATAGTGTGGACTCAAACCATATTAATGAACTTTTTCTACTACTATATTCATAGTGTGGACTCAAACCATATTAATCCACTGATTTATCTTGCACTTAGAATGGATTTTCAGCCATACATAATTTTGAAACATCACACGTTGGTCATTTAGAAAATACTCATTCACTGAGTTATGCAGAACTTCCAAACATTGGCCCATGTCATTAATACAATATCAAAAAATTCACATTTGTTAATGGTGCCATGCATCTCAACAGAAGAGATTTTAAGTATTGAGAAACCATCACGCTAATCGTGACAGAAGAGTTTTCCAAAATTCTAAGTTTTGCTTGAAAGCTTGAATTTTGTCATTGGTGATATTTTAGAAAATGTTTGCCAAAAACTTATGTCTGAATAACCAATTATTCTTTCAAATAAAAATTGTCTGTGAAAAAAGTGGCTAGCTCAGCTCACAACTCAAATGATCACACAAGTGCTTTCTCTTCATATAACCATCATACCTAGGTATGGGGCAGAAATACTTTATGTGTACTTCCTATTTTGTCACACAGAATATTAAAAAGATGTATATTCAAGGGTCAAGATTTAACAAAATTAATAAATTTTATCTCTTCATCAAGAAAATTCTTAAGTTAAAATGGTATTGAAAGATTTTTTTATTGTGACTAGCAGTACTGGTAGTCTATTGCCCCTCCCTTGATCCATGCTAAAATATAAGCAGTTTTATTCATCGATGCTTTTGCATCAACAGGGAAAATGACAAGTGATATCTTAGTATTATTATGAAAATATTTCTGAACTTGTATAGCCCCGAAAAGGGTTTCAGGGATAGGGCTGCTAGATTTAGCAAATAAAAATACAGAATGCCAGTTAAATTTGAATTTTAGACATACAACAAATACTTTGTTAGTATAAGTGTGTCCCAAATATTACGTGGGATATATAAATACTAAAAATATTATTCTTTGTGTGTCTGAAATTTAAATTTAACTAGATGTCCTATATTTTATCTGGCAGCCCTACTCAGGGATCCATATTCCACATTTTGAGCATTAGGCATTAGGTCCAATTCTGAACTGATTAAAACTTAATACTTAAGTACTAATTAAGTATTAATATATTATACTGATTAAAGGGTTAATACTTTTTCTTTTATAGAAAATATTACTATTTGAGATTATTTATTTGCATTACTTTCTCTCTCCCTCAAGAAAATCATGTTCAGGGCTGAGCCAGTGGCGCACTTGGGAGAGTGCGGCGCTCCCGCCGCGGGTTCGGATCCTATATAGGGATGACCGGTGCGCTCACAGCGCTCACTGGCTGAGCGCGGTGCGGCCGGTCTCAAAAAGGACAAAAAAAAAAAAAAGAAAAAGAAAATCATGTTCATAAGGGGGAGATCTCGTCGTATTGCTCATCACTATATCCCTAGCACTTAGCAAGGCCTGGCATAAAAGAAATCCAATAAATATTTTTTGAATGACAGAGAGAATAAATAACTAAGGAGTGCTGTGATACAAATGCTCAGAGAATTTGCAGGTAGAGTTGAGACACAGTGGAGATCCCAGAGTTCTGGGGCATTGATTACAAGGGCTCCCATCTGCTAGGTCCTCAATAGTATGCTGTTTACTTAATAATATGGAGGCCCAGGACCACGAGGATTGGGCTTGGAAAAACCTGGTGGTCTAGGTTTCAGCCCAGAAAGGGCTTAGGAACATGGCCAAAAGAAAATGAGAAAGAAAGGTGTATTCTAAAGAAATGCTATCCCTGTAGCCCAGCTAATACTCCTCACCTTTAAACATTACTCAAGGATACGTCTCAACATGCTTCATGAAAAGTACCTATTCTTAGAAGGAAAGATAGGGAAGAAAGAAAGAACAGAACCAGGCAGCCAAGGCCTTAAGGGCAGGTAGTATGTGACTCTTTTATTCACTGCAGGAAGCTAAGAGGTTGTAAAGTTATACACATCGGTAACCAAGAAAGCACAGTTTCTTCCTGGGCTTATGGAATTGGAATTGTGGTGGGTCCTGATTTTACTATTTTCTCATGAGAACTACGTATCTTCTCCAACATCAATCTCTGAATTATGAAGTTCTGCTAGGATATTCAGATACTCTCCTAATTGTAGTTAAGTTTGTGGTTAATTTCTTTATTTGGAATGGTCTTGGCTTTAGAAAGTAATGATTTTAGAACATATTTTAAAAGCACATTTTCTCAGTTACCTGAAATATTAGCTTTCTTTTTCATTGGTGAATAAACGGAAAACATCCACTGCCCTGATGATTCCCAAACCTCCATATCTTTTATAATTCCTTCACTGAAAAAAAGAAAAAACCCAGAAAGTAAAGGATTTTCTAAACTTGACTGTGAAAATTTATTGTTTATGATTATCAACAACTGAAATTTTAAATTCTAGTAAATACATAATTTTAGATTTTTTCCATTATTTTTCTGAAGTCTGTTCTTTAAAGCAGAACCTTATAGAAATACCAACTATATTTCATGGTTACAAATATTATGTCAAATATTATAAAAATTGTAATAGAAATATAAACTTTTTATATTTTGTGGTTATAAATATTGCAATATAATATTTGTTCTTCTAATATACTGAACCATTAATCACTATACTTAAGAACTAAGATATAATAAAATATACAATACTAACTTTAATCTTTCTTTGTTCATTATCAT